GAGGAGGAGGACGAGGAGGAGGAACTGTATGTGCTTGGAGAAAACAGCTATCATTGCTAAGTACCAACAGTTTACCAAAGAAATTTATGTGTATGATTCTCCTTATCTCTAACAACCATTGTTAAAAACTATTTTGTAGCCGGGCACTGGGGCTCACACCTGTAATCCTAGCTACTCAGGAGACTGAGATTTTAGGATTGTGGTTCAAAGCCAGCCCAAGCAGGAAAGTCTGTGAAACTCTTATCTCTAATAAACCACCAAAAAACCAGAAGTGGCGCTGTGGCTCAAATGGTATAGTACTCTCCTTGAGCTGAAGAACTTAGGGATAGTGTCCAGGCTCAGAGTTTAAGCCCCACAACCAAAACCAAAACTATTTTGTAATAAGTTTAAGGAGATATAGTTTAAGTACCACATAAACTACCCATTTTAAGTTCACATTCAATGGCTTTAGGGCATTGGTAGAATTGTATAACTGTCATCCTAGTCAATTTTAGAACACTGTCATTATATCTTATAACTCCACACCCTTTAACTACACCAACTTACCCTCAAACCACAGCCCAGGAAAAACAATAATTTTCTTTCTGCATCTACAGAGTGGTCTACTCTAGACAGTCAATAGAATCATACACAGTCTTTTGTGACTGGCTTCTTGAACTTGGTATAATATATAGTGCCAGTCCTGAGGTTTGAACTCAGGGACTGAGCACTGTATATGAGCTTTTGTGCTCAAGACTAGTGTTCTACCACTTGAGCCACAGCTCCACTTCTGACGTTTTGGTGGTTTATTTGGAGATAAGGGTCTCAGGGACTTTCCTGTCCTGACTAGTTTTGAACCATATTCCTCAGATTTCAGCCTCCTGAGTAACTAGAATTAGAGGTAAGCTAAATCAATACTTCGTTCTTTTTTATGATAAAATCATAATTGCATTTCTGTAGTCTCTACCTATCTAAATTCATTAGTTGTAGACATTTGGGTTGCTTATTCCTCTTGGCTACCGTTACTAATGCTGTTATGAACATTTCACTTTTTATGTAAAGTAACCATCTTTTTTTTTGGTCTGGTTGTTGGGCCTGAACTCTGGGCTTGGGCGCTGTCCCTCAGCTCTTCAGCTCAAGGCTAGCACTCTACCACTTGAGCCACAGTGCCACTTCCGGCTTTTTTCTTATGTGGTACTGAGGAATTGAACCCAGGGCCTCAGGGCCTCAGGCATGCAAGGCAAGCGCTCTACCACTGAGCCACCTTCCCAGCCCGTGAAGTAACCATCTTTTAAAAGTCATTACTTCAGGGCTGGGAAGGTGGCTCAGTGGTAAAGCGCTTGCCTTGCATGCCTGAGGCCCTGGGTTCGATTCCTTAGTACCATATAAGCAAAAAGAAAAAAGCTGGAAGTGGTGCTGTGGCTCAAGTGGTAGAGCACTAGCCTTGAGCTGAAGAGCTGAGGGACAGCGCTCAGGCCCAGAGTTCAGGCCCCACGACTGGATCCCCCCCCCAAAAAAGTCAATACTTCAAATTTCAGAAAAGACAATTGGCCTTCACACAGCTGGTAAAATGCTGAAATAGAATTTGACACATAGGATAAAATGAGAAAAATCTATCAAGGACATAAAGTCATAATATTTTTTGTTGGTTATGAAGCTTGAACTCAGGGCCTGGGTGCTAGCCCTGAGCTTTTTCATTCAAGGCTAACACTCTACTGTTTGAGCCATAGCATCACTTCTGGTTTTCTGGTGATTATTTAGAGATAAGAGTCTCACAGACTTTCCTTCCTGGGCTGGCTTTGAACTGTGATCCTCAGATCTCAGCCTCCTGAGTCACTAGGATTACAGGCATAAGCCACGGGTATCCAGCAGCCAAGTCAAATTTTAAGTGGGAAGAATTCAGAAACAAGTCTGTGAAAGAGACATTGTTTAAGTTGAGTTTTAAGGGACAGTAGGAGTGAGCTAAGAGAAATTCTAGGGGAAGGAAGAATTGAGAGAGGCCCTGTCCCTGAGCTCTTTTGCTCAAGGATAGCTCTCTACCATTTTGAGCCACAGTGCCACTTCCAGTTTTCACGTGGTTAACTGGAGCACAGATTTTTCTGTCTGAACTGCCTTGAACTGCAAGCCTCAAATCTCAACCTACTAGCCCCCTGAGCATCTGGCATGAGCTACCAATGCCAGGCCACATTTTTTTCTAAACCCTACTCTGACTGCAGATTATAAGATTGAATTGGAGGATCTTTCTCTTTTTTTTTTTTTTTTGCCAGTCATGGGGCCTGAATTCTGGGCCTGGGCACTGTCCTTCAGCTATTCAGCTCAAGGCTAGCGCTCTACCACTTGAGCCTCAGCTCCACTTCCAGCTTTTTCTGCTTACGTGGTGCTGAAGAATCGAACCCAGGGCCTCATGCATGCAAGGCAAGCGCTCTACCCCTGAGCCACCTTCCCAGCCCTGAATTGGAGGATCTTTAAGATTCTAAATTTAGTTTGGGATCCTGGTGCTGGTGGCTTATGCTTGTAATCTTAGTTAATCATGGGGCAGAGATCTGCAGATCATGGTTCAAAACCAGCTATGCAAGAAAGTCTGAGATTCGTATTTCCAATTAGCTACCAAATGAAAGCTAGAAGTAGAGCTATGGCTCAAGTGATAGAGTGCTAACCTTGAGCAAAATAAGCCTCAGAGACAGCCCCAGGCCCTGGGTTCAAGCCCTAGGAACAGCAAAAAAAAAATGGAGTTGTTTATCTCAATAAGTTTTAAGATGTTACAAGTTATGTATTTTTTCTAGTTTTTTTTTAAAGACAGAATCTTACTATGTAGACCAAGCTGGCCTCAAACTGTCAATACTCCTGCCTCTAAATTCTAAGCATGCATCACCATATCCAACTAGTTAGTATTTGTGACATGCAGAATTCTGAGTTTGATATACTACAGTTGTGATTAGTAGGACATTTCTTATCTTCATTTGAAGGTAACATTGTGGATCTTGTAGCTACTGGTCCTAGCATATACTCCATTAAGTCTTCTACTAAAGCTTGTGATTCTATGGAACTTATATATGTGTGGGCTGGGAAGGTGGCTCAGTGGTAGAGCACTTGCCTTGCATGCATGAGGCCCTGGGTTCGACTCCTCAGCAAAAAGAAAAAAGCCAGAAGTGGCGCTGTGGCTCAAGTGGTAGAGCTCAAGCCTTGAGCTGAAGAGCTGAGGGACAGTGCCCAGGCCCAGAGTTCAGGCCCCACGACTGGACCCCCCGCTCCCCAAAAAAATAACTTATATATGTGTGTTTGTCCTCTTTTGGAATGAAAGTGTATAGACACAAGGATTCTCCTTTGTATTTCTAGGTGCTAGGCTAGTTCTTGGGATCAATGTTTGCCAAATGAATGATTGAGTAAATGAGTGGATGGTGAATGATTAGACAATGAAGAACTATGCCTACATCAGAAAGAATGACATTGCCCCATTTGCTAGGAAATGAAAAGACTTGGAAAAAATTATATTAAGTAAAGTAAGCCAGCCCCAAAGGGACATAGGTCCCATGGTTTCCCTTATTTGCAATAACTAGTATATGTCTGAGACAAGCAGAAATGGTCAGATAAGTTGATGTTAGGCAAAATGAACCCCAAGATAAGGACTCAAATGGTTTTTCTTTCTTGCTACTGTTTCTAACATATTTATAAGATGATTTCTTTGTTGCTTTGTATGTCCCTCCCCCACGGTATAATCCCTGTTTTCACTGTATTTGATGTCGGTGTAATTTGGGGAGGGGAAGGGAAAAAACAAATTGTTTAAATAGGAATACAGGTGGACCCATTGCAACAATGAGCTGTATAAGACCTTATGTTGAACTTTGGTGGGGGGTGGGGGACGAGGGAGATGGGAGGGCAGGGATGGGAAGGGGAAACAAAGGAGGAGGCAACAATGCTTGATAAAAAAATGTACTCATTACCTTGCTCATGTAATTGTAACCCCTCTGTATGGTATTTTCACAATAAAAAAAACTTAATAAAAAACCCAAAAACAACAAAAAAAGAACAGTTGTAGTTCATACAAAGGTGAACTATTAGAAAACAGGTCATATAATATGGCAGTTCTACTTTTGCTGAAATCTGCAAAGCAACTTGTATATCATGGAAATAATTACCTTTCTGAGAACAAACAAGAAGTAGGCCTTACAAGCAATAGTGCCTGACAGGGAGGATCTACCGTAAGGTGTCTATGGATGGAATACCCTGCAGGTGACGCAGACCAGGCAAGGAAGAAGCAGCCTTTACCCTGGACTCAGAACATCATTCTGCTTACTGAAGCCCCTCTTTTTGACTTGCTCACCAGCCAGACTCTGGACCTTGTTTGAACCTGTACTATTTTCTGCATCTCCCTGTACTTGGCTACCTGTCTGAATGTTTGGAATATAATTGTTCTTCTCTGACTCAGATGCTCTCTTTAGTTTTGACTCATTAGCAGACTAGACTAGCTTCTCTTTGCTTCTCTGAACTTCAAATTTGCTGAGGCTTTCTTTCCAAATGGGGCTTGAATGACATGTCATAAACAGGATTGTTGAGACTGAGGCATATATGTGAAAATGTGTAACAGCCATTCATTGTTTATTGAGTACCTATCCACAGGTACAGTGATGTATGAGCTATATAGTTCTTGTCCACTAGGGTGTCACGGATGAGTTAATGAGATAGAGAAGAAAAAAGGCAATGACAATATAGTGGGCTAAGAAGCTTGGAGGCACAAATTGTGTTGGGATCACACAGCAGGGGAGTGATTAATAAAAGCTGACCCAGAGAAGTACAAAGCTGGGGCATACTCCATCTCATTGCAAGGTGGAGAGCAGGGCTACAGCTACATGGAAATAAACAGAAGAGAGAGCATGGCAAATTTAGCAAGTCAGCTTCAGATTAGCTGAGATCTGAGGATCATGGTTAGATGTATATATCTTACCTCTCCTCTACGAATCTGGATGTTCCTTATAATACGCTCTAAGAGGCCAACTTGCTGCATTAGCCGGAGACAATTTTCCTGCAGTTGTTTATTTTCTTTATCCAGGAAAAATGCCCTAAGAATAGAATAAGTGAGAAGTGTAACTAATACACATGCATGCTAAATACACACTCTATCACTGAGGCCCACACTCCAATAATTAGACATTTCTGTACCATTATGAAAAACCCTAAGCCTTGTCCAATTTCCTACTAACTCTGGGTCTTAAGAAAACTGCTTAACTCGGCCAGGCACCAGTGGCTCACACTTGTAATCCTAGCTACTCAGGAGGCTGAGATCTGAGGATCATGATTCAAAGCCAGCCCTGGCAGGAAAGTCTGTGAGACTCTTATCTCCAGTAAACCACTAGAAAACTGGAAGTTGTGGCTCAAGCGGTAGAGTGCTCACCTTGAGCTGAAGAGCTGAGGGACAGCGCCCAAGCCCAGAGTTCAAGCCCCACGACCGACAAAAAAAAGAAAAGAAAAGAAAACTGCTTAGCCCATAGAACCAAGAATGGCAAAATAATTCTCACCATAATCCACAACCAAATAAAAATTAGTGAGCTTCTGGCCTGTACAACACATGTATGAGTATGAAAGGCACAATTCCCAGACCTTGAGAAACTTCAGGAAGGCTTTGATTCCACTTAGGGTGAGACTGACGAAAAAAAGACTATCTCTTCAATAAGCTTCTACAATAAATTGTGTAAAAGTGTGAGATTCTGATCTCATACTGATCTGGTTCTGATTTCTCACCTAAAAGGAGAAATAGTGCCAGCAGCTGCCACCAACACTCATCAACTACCTGACATGTGAACGCTGTACTCACACTAACCACACAGTAAACTCTGCATACTTTCTGTGTAGTAATTCATTTAATCCTCACAAAAAACCTTGTGAAGCCCTGCACTGGTGGCTCACGCCTGTAATCCTAGCTACTCAGGAGGCTGAGATCTGAAGATCGCGGGTCAAAGCCAGCCCAGGCAAGAAAGACCTTGAGACTCCTATCTCCAATAAACCACCAGAAAAACCAGAAGTGGCACGGTAGCTCAAGTGGTAGAGTGCTGGCCTTGAGCTGAAGAGCTGAAGGATAGTGCCCAGGCCCAGAGTTCAAGCCCCACGATCGACAAAAAAACAAAACAAAAAAACCTTGTGATATAAGCACTGTTATAAAGCCTGCTTTATAGTTGAGGATACAGGTTCATAGAGGAGGAAGTAACATGTTCAAGAACATAAATAATTCGGTGAGTTAGCCACTGGTGGCTCATGCATGTAATCAGAGCTACTTAGGAGGCTGAGATCTAAGAATTGTGGCAGCCAATTAACCAGCAAAACGTGGGAAGCAGAAGTATGGCTAAAGTTGTAGAACACCAGCCTGGAGGAGTTCAAGCCCCAGAGTTCAAACACACACACACACACACACACAGAGCTTCTGCTTCTTAGCCCCCCCCCCCCCCCACACACACAGAGCTTCTGCTTCTTAGCCACCAGGCCTCCCAATGATGATGGGCTGAAATATGGGAAAACAATGAGCCCAAATGAATTTCCTTTGCCTTGAAAAATGAACATAAAAGTAGAGATTTATAAAACTGCTATGCCAAACCAGATCTTTTAAGATTTCTGAGCCTGTTTTTTCTACTTTTTCTTGGTACTGAAGGTTGAACCAGGGCTTCATGAAGGCTAGACTAGAACTCTACTCCGAACCCCAGACCCATCCCTAAGCTTTAGTTCTTAACCACCTATTCAAGGCCACAGTTTATTTGGAAGGTATGACATTAATTTGGATAAGGGATTTGTGCTTGAGTTCTGGTCCTGCCACCAAACTGTCAACTGCTAATTATACTAATTGTGTGATCCTGAGCAAATTACAGATCTGAACCTTAGGTTCCTCATCCACCATCAGAAACTATGACACCATTTGAGAAAGACAGTGTTTGATGTGGGATGTATAAAAAAGGAAAAGTAAACAGCAAGTGAAAAAGAGAGACTTTCCAGGTATGGCCAGAGGAGAATGTGTCCAGAGTAGCCAACAGCTATCACGCTGTGGTCTGGGACTAGGTTGCTGAGATGACGTGCTACTGGCCACTAACCAGACTGAGTCAGTGGTCAGCTTCCCTATTCTTTTTGGATCTTTGGCTTCCTTACCCATAAACTAAGGCTAGTCATAGTTGCTACCTCTTGAGGCTGGTGTCAGGATGAAATGAATAGAGAGAACAGCCCACAACGGTACCTAGTACTTAAGTGCTCAAATAATGTTGGTCCTTGTCCTCATTGTTGGTGACGTTATCTGTTAACATCAACCTAGTCTCTTTGTCCTTATTCTCTTCTAGGAAACATCAGTTATAATCAAAGTTTCATATGGAACAAAGACTGCTCAGTATCTAAATTCTTATCTGCTTTGAATGCTTCTCTTTAAAAATTAACGTAATGAAATCCTGCGGGGTCTCATGAATGTAAGCGAGGTCTGTGAACTTTATTCTTGGTCTACGTTGATTCCTCAGATAGCAAATGATAAAGGGGGGTGACAGCACGTAGAGGAAGTGACTGGCCAGATAGAATGTGCACAGCTGGGGCCTCAGCGAGGAAACACAGCTACAACAGAGATTATCTGCATGGCTTGCCTGCCTCCCTCCAATGCCACCTTTCACCACTTGCATGATCTTCATGAAACCACAGATAGTAAGAACAACAGCCATAAAGACAGACCACAGATCAGAAGGACAGACTCTGGAACCATTTCTTTGTGGAGAGAGAAGCATCCTTTTGGTGGAGTTCATTGGCTCCCAGGCAGGACTGCACCTACTTGTTCTGGGTTGAAGAGATTATGGATTTGTTGCTGAGGATCAGTTCTTCTTGATTTGTGACTTGTTCCAGAAGCTTCCTTTTTTCTAGAAGCAGAGTATCATTCTGGGCCATGATCTGGCCCTGGAATGCCTTTTCCTAGGAAATGACACAAAAAGAGAAAGAATTACACACTTAGGACCCTCAGCTTATTTCTAAACTCTTACAGTAATATTCTTTACTCTCACTTTCATGTCCTCTAATCTGTTTGCACCTTTTATGGACACTGTAATTCTTTGTGAATGTCCAGATTTGTTGCACTGTGACATTAAAAGCTCTCGTATCACTAGTGAGTGGCTCACACCTGTTATCCTAGCTACTCAGGAGGCTGATATCTAAGCATTGTGGTTCAAAGCCAGCCTGGGCAGGAAAGTCCATGAGACTCATCTCCAATTAATCACCAGAAAACCAGAAATGGCACTGTGGCTCAAAGTGGTAGAGCACTAGCCTTGAGCAAAAGAACTCAGGGACAATGCCCAGGCCCTGAGTTCAAGCCCCATGACTGACAAATAATCTCTCACATCAGTCTTTTCTAGGTTTAGCATTTCTAATTCTGCTAATATTTTATTTTGTGAACTTTACATTCACTAGTTAATATCTTTTTTTTCCCTCTCTCTCCATATATCAAGGAGAAAAAAGATCTATGAAAACTTTATCTGTGCCATCTTAGAGAAGCTATGTTTAGATCCTCATAAAAGCCTGGTATGTGAAGTGGAAATTGTTTTGTTTTGTTTTCTTTTTGCAGAGGAGGAAATATACAGAGACTTGTCTAAGAACACAAGACTATGTCTCAGGGCTAGAATTTGAATCCAAGTTGGCTAATTGAAAAGCCCAAAAACCTTTCAGTGTCAGCAAGCAAAACATCAAATCTCTTCCTTAGCTTCTGGATATTTTCAATCTTCAGTATATTTCCTAGAGATCTGTGATGCTTTCAGTCAATGCATTGGTTTCCTTGGACTGGTGTATACATTACTACAAAGTGATTTGAAACAACAGAAACACAGTTCTAGGAGCTAGAAATCTAAAATGAAGCAGTTGTCAAGGTTAGTTTTTTTTTCTCCTGGGGGCTCAGAAGGAGGTTTTACCCCTCTTTTGACATTGAAGAATTGAACCCAGGGTCTTATGTACATTAGGCAAGTACTCTCCTGCTGAGCTACTTCCTCAGAGGGAGATTCTGTTCCAAGCCTGTCTTGTAGTGCTTCGTGGTTGCCAGCTATCCTCATATCCCTTAGCTTTACTGCATCATTCTAATCTCTGCCTCCATCAGCACAAAGTATTCTTCCTTGTGTTTGTATGTGTCTTCACAGACAATAAAAATATAAAGACACCAGGATGTCCTCGTTTTAAATAATTCCATCTGCAAAGATCCTATTTCCAAACAAAGCCATATTTTGAGGTTCTGGGTGAACATGAATTTTGGGGGATATGGAAGAAAGGAAATGTACTTACTAAAAGCAAGAGATTGATCTTGCACGTAAGCCTAGAGGCAAACGATAGGTGATACAAGAAAGAATTGGTAGTGCAAAGATAGATTGATATTCCTAGTGGACCTATGAACCAGGCTGCTATTTTTTTCTGTAAACATGTCTGGTGCTTAAACATCCAAGCTGGATCTGACTACTTAGAAGTTTGATAAATCCAATTTATTTTCCTCTCTCACTAGAGTTTAGAATAGCAAGAGGTTTTTGTTTGTTTGTTTTGATGCTAGTACTGGGGTTTGAATTCAGGTCTTACAATCTTGCATGGCCTTCTTGCTTTTAGTAAGTGTTCTACTACTTGAGCCGTGCCTTCAGTCTAACATTTTACTGGTCCATTGAAGAATGCAATCTTGATGAGTAATCTGTCACTGTCTTTAAATACCTTACTGTGTCGTCTAGACTTCTAGACCTGCAATCCCATGATAGTGGGTGGAATGTCTGCCATTATATTCATCTACTGGCAGCCTTGGCATATAGAGAGGGGAAATAAGACAATTCTTAGGTGTAAAGCATGCGTATTTTAGGAGAGAGGACAATTTTCAAAATTCTGTGAGGGCTAGAAATCCCATCAAGGAGGAATATTATAAAGTTGTCCTCCATAATAATTTACATAATTTTAGGATATTAAGACCATTCTGTACAAGGTTCCATTCATTGGTCCCATTTCATTTTTATACATACATCAGTGATTCACAAGAGCAGTAAGACAAACAAAGATATCAGGGAAAAAAAGTCAGAATTGGTGCTAGGCACTGGTGGCCCACACCTGTAATCCTAACTACTAAGGATGGAGGAGCAGGGTTCAAAGCCAGCCCAGGCGGGAATGTCCATGAGACTCTTATCTCCAGTAAACCACCAGAAAACTTGAAGTGGTGCTGTGGCTCAAGTGGTAGGGCGCTTGCCTTGGGTTGAAGAGCTCAGGGGCAGCGCCCAGGCTGAGAATTGACTTAGCCATTTAAAAACTAACAAGCACCTGCCTAGAAAACACAAAGCTCTGAGTTCACACCCTAGTACTGACCAAAAAGAAAAAAGTCTTACCCTTTTGAGCAGGTATTTAAGGACAATAAGACAAAGAAAGAAATAAAGGCCTTCCAATTTGGACTATACAGTGAGTTTGAGGCCAGCTCGAGCTAATGACCCTGATTTAGAAACTAAAAACAAACAATACATAAAAATGGACACTGACGTTTGAGGCAGAATGAGAGCCACATAAAGCAGGAATGGGCTACTGAGGGTGGTTTGGAAGCCTCTGCTGGGGAGTGTTGAACAAGGTCGTTTTCATTCAAAAGCAAGATGTAAATTGGCAGTGCAGACTTTTTTAAGTGTCCAGTTTGGGTTAGGAACTCTATGTATCTTTTTTTGTTTTGTTTTGTTTTGCTTCCGGTCGTGGGGCCTGAACTCTGGGCCTGGGCGCTGTCCCTCAGCTCTTCAGCTCAAGGCTAGCGCTCTACCACTTGAGCCACAGCGCCACTTCCGGCTTTTTTCTTTTTGTTTATGTGGTGCTGAGGAATCGAACCCAGGGCTTCATGCATGCAAGGCAAGCGCTCCACCACTGAGCCACCTTCCCAGCCCAACTCTATGTATCTTATACTCTGCTTGGTGGGCTTAATGAACTCCTCACATTAAATGACAGAAATGGAAACAAGGGCTATGTAGAGCCAAAGATAATGAATGGGCTTTCTCCACCAGCACCAACAGTGCCCTTTTATATTTTTCTCACCATTTCAATCTTTTGCTGCAGTTTTCCAGTTTCATCTTCAAGATGTTTAATTTTCCTATTTCGTATTTCTACTTCATGAGTGTAATGATCCTTCACCTTTCGAAGCCTTGCTCTGTGGTGGTTTTGCTTCTCATTGTTGTTTCTACAAAAGTAAATCTGAGTTATACTGAGGTCTGAACACAGTTAAAATCAATTTTACCTCCTTCACATGCACCTTTCCATGGCTCTCTAACTAGGGTGATGGGCCTGGCACTGAATGTGGGCACCTGTCCTACTTCACATCTTCCTTGCCCTATGTGGGAGGTGAACCAAAGATCACATAACAACAGTACTACTCCTCCCCATGGAGTCAAGTTACTGGCTGGCCCTGGTTTCAGCTGATGGTAGTGGTCCTCTTTTAACATCCGAGTTCAATTTAGGAAAATCTTTGACTTCTGGTCCCCAACATCTAAATCCTGAGTCCTGCTCCACTGATTAGGTCATTAATCTAAAATTTCCTACTTCCTAAGTACACTTTTTTTTGCCAGTCCTGAGGCTTGAATTCAGGGCCTGAACACCATCCCTGAACTTCTTTTGCTCAAGGTGAGCATTCTACTGCTTGAGCCACAGCACTACGTCTGGATTTTTCTGTTTATGTGGCACTGAGGAATCGAACCCAGGGCTTCATGCATGTAAGACAAACATTCTTCCCCTAAGCCACATTCCCAGCCCTAGGAACACTTTTGAACAGTGATATTACCCTGGGTATATCTTCAATGTAACTTAAATCTTGTCTCATTTCCAGATCAGTGGGATTATTTTGAGTATGGACTTTTAATGCCAATTCTATATAGGGACTCCATGGCCTCAGAAGTCTTGTTCTGATTCTGACACAAATCTATTACTGTCCATAAACACATAAAAAGATGCCTAACATCATTAACCATTAAGAAATACAAAGGAAGGGAAACCAGAGAGAAGGTTTTTCTTTGAAGGGACAAAATGCTATAAAATAGGTTGGGGTGATGAATGAATAACTAAAAGTCATATGATTGTTCACTTTTTTTTATTTTTTGTGCTGATATGGGGTTTGAAGAATGAGCACCTTGCCAGGCTCAGGGGTGTGTGTGGGGGGGAAGGAGAGAAACAGAGACAGAGACACAGAGAAAGGGTTTTTAATGCAGAATTCCTAGTCTAGGAATTATTAACTGAAATGAAGAGAGAGAGTGGTCCAAGATGAGGACTGAATGTGAGGGAGACATAGGCTGAAGGCTGTGAGAAAGGTTTATTTGGAGAAAAACAAGCTACACTCGAGCAGAGCTCAACAGAAGCTTAAATTCCTTCTCCCTCCCTCTTGGGAAGAAACTAGGCCCCACATCTTCCTAGGAAAAGCCTTGTGGATGGAACTTCTAGAAAGGTTGCTTCAGTGAACATCTCATTGCTTCAACTGGGGCTGGCCCAGTCAGGAACAGTTGCTTTACAAACTTTTCTCTTTTCTTTCTGTCTTTCTTTCTTTCTCTCCCCCTTCCTTTCTTTCTCTCTCCCTTCCTTTCTTTCTCCCTTCCTTCCTTCCTTTCTTTGCTCTCTCTCTCTCTCTTTTTCATTTTTTGTTGGTCTTGGGGTTTGAACTCAGGGCCTGGGCACTGTTCCTGAGCCCCTCTGTGCTTAGGGCTGGCGTTCTACCACTTGAGCCACAGTGCTACTTCCGGCTTTTTCTGTGTATTTGGTACTAAAGAATCTAAACCTGGGGCTTCATGTATGCAAGGCAAGCACTTTACCATTGAGCCACATTCCCAGCCCTCTCAGACTTTTCTTCCAAAGAGAACTGGTGTCACTTTACCTTACATGCTCACCAAGTTGCTCAAAAAACCTCCCAAGTGCTTCCCAGAGGGCTTCCTTCTCCTGCTGTGACTCAGTCAGCCTCTCTGACAGTAACAGGTTGCTCTTGACAGTCTGAAAAATACATACCTTTAAACAAGAAAACACTGCACTGATAAAAGGTATGATGTTGGAGGAATGTGAATTGGCAGAGTTGTTCTGCCAATTGAAAATGCTTACAGTCATCTCAGCTGCTGAGATCACAGCGTCACTTGTTGAGTTCCTGGAAGCCAGCCGCTGCTTGGTGCGGCTTTTCCTCTTGGTTTTCCTATATGACTTGTGTGTATTATTTATTTATTTATTTTGCTGGTTGTGGGGCCTGAACTCTGGGCCTGGGTGCTGTCCCTCAGTTCTTCAGCTCAAGGCTAGTGCTCTACCACTTGAGCCATAGTGCCACTTCTGGCTTTTTCTGCTTATGTGATGCTGAGGAATCGAGCCCAGGGCCTCATGCATACAAGGCAAGAACTCTACCACTAAGCCACCTTCCCAGCCCCTTCCTATATGACTTGTAAATATCCAATTTGCTATGTTAAAACCCATTCAGGTTCAAGTGTTGTGATATTATATAATTTCTGGCTTTTTTTCTGGTTTTTTTTCCTAGGGTTTTTGTTTTTTGTTTTTGTCAGTCTTGGGGCTTGTTTTTTTGTTTTTTTTTTTGTCGGTCGTGGGGCTTGAACTCTGGGTCTGGGCGTTGTCCCTCAGCTCTTCAGCTCAAGGCGAGGGCTCTACCACTTGAGCTACAGCGCCACTTCCGGGTTTCTGGTGGTTTATTGGAGATAGGAGTCTCATGGTCTCTTCTGCCCGGGCTGGCTTTGAACCACGATCCTCAGATCTCAGCCTCCTGAGTAGCTAGGATTACAGGCGTGAGCCACCAGCGCCGGGCTAGTCTTGGGGCTTGAACTCTGGGTCTGGGTGCTGTCCCTCAGCTCTTCAGCTCAAGGCTAGCACTCTACCACTTGAGCCATAGTGCCACTTCTGGCTTTTTCTGCTTATGTGGTGCTGAGGAATCAAACCCAGGGCCTCATGCATACAAGGCAAGCACTCTACCACTGAGCTACCTTCCCAGCCCCTTCCTATATGACTTGTAAATATCCAATTTGCTATGTTAAAACCAATTCAGGTTGAAGTATTGTGATCTTATATAATTTCTGGATTTTTTCTAGGGTTTTTTTTCCCAGGGTTTTTGTTTTTTGTTTTTGTCAGTCTTGGGGCTTGAACTCTTGGCCTGGGTGCTGTCCCTCAGCTCTTCAGCTCAAGGCTAGCACTCTACCACTAGAGCTACAGCACCACTTCCAGTTTTCTGAGTGGTTTATCGTAGATAAGACTCTCTTGGACTTTTGTGCACAGGCTGGCTTTGAACCATGATCCTCAGATTTCAGCCTCCTTAGTAGCCAGGATTACAGGGGTTAGCCACCGGCGCCTGGCCAGTTTCTAGTTTTTAACTCCTTCCCTTAGGTGGGTACAGAAACTCTTAATTTTATCCTGTTTTTAGCTAGTCACAAAAGAATTTGTTTTTCATGCTTATCAAGTTGCTTGGATTTGGTGAGCTCAGGGATTTGGGTGATATCCCTCAGCTTTTTTGCTCAAGGCCAGTGCTCTACTACTTGAGCCACAGCCCCACTTCCAGCTTTCTGGCAATTAATTGGAGGTAAGCATCTCATGGAGTTTTCTGCCTGGCCTTTCTCATTAATCATTAGGTATCAGCCAACTGAGTAGCTAGATTACAGTGGTGAATCACCAACAGCTGGCTCATAAAGGGGGAAAAAGTCCTTGAAACATCATCTCCAATTAACAAGCAAAAAGCCAGGCTGAATGTATGGCTTAAGTGGTAGGTATTGGGCAAAAAAAGTCTCAAGAGAACTCAAGGTCCTGAGTTCAAGTCTCAGCACTAGCAAATTAATTAGTTAATTATTTTTTAAGGGAATTCTCTGAGCCGGGCCCTGTGCCCAGCTGAAAGGCTGAGAACAGGAGGTCATTCTGAATAGAAAAGCTCAGTTGATCCCCTTTGCTAACTCACATATGGGCACAGTGCCATGTGTATATCCTCTAAAGCTACATGGGAGGTTGAAATAGAGGAATCTGGTTCTTGGCAGCCTGGGCAGAAAAGTCTGTAAGATTCTGCCTCCATGGAGGGAAGCTAGACATCATGGCAGGCACCTTGATCCCATGGACCAAAGGAAGTCTAAAGTAGATGGGTTGTGGCTCAGGTACATGGCTGAAGGAGAAATGAGACCCTCTCCTAAAAATAACCAATGAAAAATAGGGCTGGCACAATAACATTGTGCCAACCTAGGAAGCATAAAGCCTCAAGTTCAAAACCCCAGTACCTTTAAAAAGGAAAGAGGGAAGGAAGGAAGGAAGGAAGGAAGGAAGGAAGGAAGGAAGGAAGGAAGGAAGGAAGGAAGGAAGGAAGGAAGGAAGGAAGGAAAATTCTCAGACTTATCTTTTCCGATAAATGGCACATAAGACCCTCCTCATTCCAGAAAGGGTCCTGCCATGTACCTTGGAGGGGAGCATGCTGCACAGAGAGGCCATGAGAACCCTGAACTTGCTGTGTCTCCCCACTATTAGCAATCATGCCTATACAATGAAGTCTCCATATAAAAATTGGGCAAGCCAGGTACTGGTGGCTCACGCCTATAATCCTAGCTACTCAGAAGGCTGACATCTAATGATCACAGTGCAAAGTCAGCCTGGGCAGACTCCAGTTAACCACTCAATAACCAGAAGTGGCGCTATGGCTCAAAGTCATAGAGAACTAGCCTTGAGCCAAAGAGTTCAGGGACAGTGCCCAGGCCCTGAGTTCAAGCCTCATGACCAACCAAACCAAACCAAACCAAAACAAAACAAAAAATACCAGGGGTCAGGGCCAGGAGCCTCAGGACAGCCCCACACAAAAGGTTTTGCAGAAGGGTGAATTAAATCTCATCCATGTGCTGGGAGGCTAGTGCATTCCAGCTATGGAGATGGAAGCCCCTGCCCTCAAGGCCTTTCCAACCTCACCCTATGAAGCTCTTCCTGGCTGCTTATTGCAATCCATTAAAATGACCTTGGTAACTAGTATATGTCTGAGACAAGCAGAAAAGGTCAGATAAGTTGATGTTAGGTGAAATGAACCCCAAGGTAAGTATTAAAATGTTTTTTCTTTCTTGCGATTTTTTCTAACATATTTATAAGATGATTTTTTTTTGTTGCTTTGTATGTCCCTCCCCACTGTATAACCCCTGCTTTCACTGTATTTGATGTTGGTATAATTTGTGGAGGGGAAGGGAAAAAACAAATCGTTTAAATAGGGATACAGGTGGACCCATTGCAACAATGAGATATACAAGTCGTTATGTTGAAAAACGAACTTTACAACTTTGGCTGGGGGTAGGGGGGGTGGAGGGGGTGGGGAGTGGAGGGGACAGAGTGGGGGAGATGGGAAGGGATTGGAAGGGGAAACGAAGGAGGAGGCAACAATGCTTGATAAGAAATGTACTCATTACCTTGCCCATGTAATTGTAACCCCTCTGTATGGTATTTTCACAATAAAAAAAAATGAACTTGGTGACACACAAACACAAATATAGTGTTTTCCTGAGTCCTAGGAGCTACTCTAGGAAATTAATCAAGCCTGAGAAGTGGGCCATATGAACCTCTCAATTCATGTCTGATTGATTGTAAGTTCTGCAGGCCTATACTGGGTCTGAAGTGAGAACATTCTTAGGGACTGAGCCTCCAATCTGTGGCATCTGATGCTATCTCCGGCTTCAAATGCTTATTCTCAGATCTCAGCTTCCTGACTAGGCAGAATTATAGTTGTGAGCTACGGGCACCTCCTCCAGAATTGAATTTTTTTTTAAGAGGATGCTCACATGACGTCCATGGATACAGCATTGCTTGCTTGTTGGTGGGGACTAATTTACACATGTCTGAAGTCACAGACGTAGAAGTAGTGGTGTCAGAGTAGAGGAAAAAAGAGGTAGCTTGTTTTTTTCACAAGTACATAAACAATTTTCTCTTGATCTAGCCTTGTCTAATAAAGTATTTGGTTCTAGAAGTAACTGTAGTAACTAGAAATTCACAGTTAGGAATCTGACCTAAGGATTATATTTGAAAATTCAGGTTGAATCTCTGTTATCCAAAATACTTAAGGCCAGAAATATTTCAGATTTAGAATTTGTTTCAGGTTTGGGGATGTTTGTATTTATAGGATGAAGAATCTAGGGAAGGAGAGCCAAGTCCATTCATTTATGCCTCTTATACATCATATTCACATAGCCTGAAAGTAATTTTATACAATATTTTTAGTGCCCCAGTATTCTGACCCATTATATGAGGTCAGGTGTAGAACGTTCCATGTGTGGTGTCATGTCAGTGTCCAAAAAGTTTCAGATTTTTTTTTTTTGAGATTGGAATGGGCTGTCACTATGTTTCCCAGACTGTTGTGGAACTCCTGAACTCAAGCAATCCTCCTGCCTCAGCTTCCTGTATAGCATAGGACTTACAGATATGCACCATCATGCCTAGCGCCAAAATCTCCAGATTTAAGAGTTCGGATTAGTAGCATTCGACTTGTAATTTGGTTTTATTCCTACTCCTTAGTAACTCATGGCAAGAGAGTTTATTAAATTATCAACTTCTAGTTACCTAAAGTGAAGTACTTTGGGATACCATATGACTAATATTAATGTTCTGGTTTTGATATGAAGGGTCTCCTAAAAGGTGCATGTGTCTTTGGGAGGGTCAAAAGGGTGAACTAATGCGACAGTGGCTCTCACTAGACACTCTGAACTATATAACTTGTGGGTGGGGATGGAGGGAAAAACTGGGAGAGATAGAAGCAAAGAGTGACATTGTCCAAAAGGCACATATGTTGGTTGCCAGCTTGTAGCCTTTTAGGGAGCGACTAAGTCTGAAGATTCTGACCTAATCAGTGGATTAATCCCTTGGTGGATGTATAATAAGACAGCATTTTGGGGGAGCGGCCTAGTTGGAGCAAGCAGATCACGAGGAGTTTGTGCTGGAAAAATATACTGTGTACCGGACCCCTTCTTCTGTCTCTGTCTCTGTCTCTGTCCTGCTTCTGGACT